TACAGAGTTAAAACTTAAGAAAGCAACAGAAGTGTTTTTGGAATTCTAAACCTCTGACATGCAACAAGTGCGAACTCTGGCCAGCTTTGGGAGATTGAATCATTCATTTTACAAGCCTCTGAGGAATGGGAGGGTAGAAAGCATGCTGCCTGGCAGAGGATTTTTCAAGTGTTAAGTAATTCTGTGTCACCATATTTTACATCTAGGGACTGGGAGATGCCAGATCTGAGATAAAAGTTTACTATCTTAGAAACAGTGAGGCAGCAGCATCATAGAAGTGGTACTTCCCCTCAATGTGTCATGTGTCACCATATTTTACATCTAGGGACTGGGAGATGCCAGATAAAAGATAAAAGTTTACTATCTTAGAAACAGTGAGGCAGCAGCATGTGGTACTTACAAAAAAAAAAAAAAAAAAAATCAGTTTAAAGCAAAATACAGAGCAGATGGAGAAGCCAAATGACAGCACAAGCAAATGAATGAAGACAAGAATCTACTACATCTGAGACATTATAGTCAACTAACACGCTAATGTGATGTAACGTACAACCTTAAAGGCCATGGTTTCCTAAGGGGGACATTAGCAAGATGAGCTGATTTCTCAGTTTCCTAATTTCTGGTTCTCCATATTGTTCGACTCTGAAAGGTCCTGCACTTCAATTCTCAGGGCATAAATCCATACCATTCCATTTCTATCCCCATGAGTGGATATAAAATAAAGCACTTGAGAGAAAAACTTCCTTGGGTTTTTTTGGGTTGGTTTTGGTGTTTGCTTTTTTCTACCCTGGTAGAAGCCTCTGCCACTTCTAGAGACAGCAAGTTTCTCTGTACACGATTCAGGTGAAGCTCCATTCCCTAGTGGAATTAGGTGCTTAGACGCCCTATACATTGCTACTCCAATTCCAGCAGACCAAATACGATCCTTAACTGCAGCTTCTGTGCCTAAAGCCTGGACATATTAGTAGATGTGACTATCTTAACTGCCCCTGAGTCTTGAAACAACTATAATACACCTACTACTGTAGTATGAACACTCAGCAGCATTGAAACAGTAAGTCTATAGACACTGAGTATTATTTCTATTCTCCACTGTGTACGATACCATGATGGAAGCTGGAAAATTACTCTTCTTTCCTTGCCAATTGTGTATTTTTCCCATTTAGCAAACACTGAATTTTCTAACTCTGTTTTAAATAGCAACTCACCACATACTCCCTGAGGAATCCCTCTCGCCAAAAGCGCTGTATGAGCCATCTTGTCTCTTGTAGGTCAGCTGGCGCTGGTAGCCTGGAAGTCACAAAAGAACTGGTGGAGTCCAAAACCCTCACACAGAGAAAAACAAGTATGTAAAGTGAATGAAGACTCAGACCATCTGGCACTAGCATAAGGGATTCTGCTGCCCGAGGCAACCTCTTATTTTGCTGTGAGTGATAGAGCCAGCTCTGTGTACGTACGCTGTAGCTTATTCAGAAATCCATTCAGGCTAACATCTGTAAGACTACAACTCCTGCATTTTGGCCAGTAGAAATGTTAAAAATTTGATACCCCTCTGAAAAGATGCAGTATTAAAAGCCAGATTTTTACTTAAGCATACAGCCATTCTCCTTCCATTTTACTGAAAGCATCATGCAGATGAAAATTTTTTTGCTTTAATGATACAACTGGATTCAGACTTTTCTCCAAAGCTGTTGCTTAGGACAACTTAATGTAACATGACAATAACAGCTCTGATCTTAACGTATACGAACACTTCCTAGCTACTAGGGCTGTCTTATAAGGCTTGTTTTAGACAACAATTATTAAGAAGTTGAATGCTGAAGAAAAGAACTCTCTACCGGAATGTCTTTTGAGATTGAAAATAAAGATAGTCAAAATGCTCTTCCTATTAGGAAAAGAATTTGCTTCTCAAACCTGTTTGTCTTATAACCGTGAACTGCCCATCCTAATAAAGCACTCTAAGCTCTATAGTGAGGAATGCAGAATACATACTTCGATAAAGCTCTTAAACACCCATTGGGATCAAACCTGTCAGAATGGGTATTTCTGATACGGAGATATGTCAAACCTGCAAGAAGACCGTGTCAAAGACATTTAGTGCCTGCTTAATTCTCTGATACATGAATAGATGTTTTATTCCACACTGCGTGACATTTTTATGGGAATGGATTACTTTTTCATTTCCGGAGGCGAAGTTTCTTTGTTGACCTCTCCAGATACAGGCAGCTCCACAATCCCCGAGTAAGGGCTGCCCATGACTCATACACTTTTTCCTGTTGCTCTATAGCCTTCTGATGCTTATAGGGAATGCAGATAGAATGGTTTGAAAAATGGGAGGAACAAAGCCCTAGAGATTAATGATGCTCTTGTAGTAAAAACATCTTTGTCTGGGGGTTGTGGGATATATACAAGTACGTGGCAGAAAGCATAAGTAACAGTATTATTATTTTTTTTTCTTCCTCCAAACAATAGGAGTTACATTAGATTGCTTTTTTTCTACATAGGCCTCAGATACAATTTACTACTGAGCACTTCCTCCTTCAATTGTTCCTAAGCATTCATTTCCAGTGTGTTAGATGGATAAATTAAGTACTCGTATTTTTATATCAGTCTTATGATTTTCTCCGTTCTTTTACTCGAATGTTCATTCTGAGTTGGCTTATGCTCCATTGCTCTTACATTTGTTCTTCTTTGCTTGCTAGGTTGCTAGTGGCACAGACTTTATGTCTTGCTTGCTGTTCTGAAATCTTCTGTTTTCTAAACACTCCTCTAGATGCTTGGACTCACTGGAGAGGTTCACCTTTCTAGTTTTCACCTGTTCACCTGCTTTTGTAAAACTGCATTGTGGGAAAGCAGAAAAATTACTGACTGGTTTAGCTCAGGCCACTTCTAAAGATTAGGGAATATACAGGAATCGTTGGGTATCAGCACTTTCTATGATGAATGACTAAGTGATGAAAAAGTTTTCTGGCTTGTTAAGTCACAAAAGCCTTCTAGAGTGAGCAAACAGACTTTCTCATCTAAACCTTATACTTGGCAGGGCTCCAGTAAACACAGAAAAGTTTAAAACTCTTGAGGATTTCTTCTGTAAGGGTTAATTAGCAGGCAGAGTTTGGTGCCAAAAACCTGGAAGGTTTGCAGATTCATAAAAAGAAACAAAAGCAAATGATATTGCAAAGGAAACACTGACCCAGAGTATTAAAAAATTCCCTTTGTCTTACTGCTCTCAGCAAGCAAAAAAAATTACAAGTGAAACGACTGTAGCCAGGCAAAGGAAGCAGCACTGGGCTTTTGCTGCTGAATACAAGAAATACATTACATATTACATTTTATATTTCTATTTTCAGAGGAGAACCACCTAATCCTGTCACCTCTGATTTCATGACATGACTATTGTCTGACTCATACAGAAGACAGCTTTGTCCCTTTGGGTCATTCTTGGTTTTAATGACCTCTGAATTCTTACTTGTCCTGAGAATTGTATTTAGTTACAAACTATTTTGCATGTGGCTCTTCCCAAACAAATGCTGAGAAAAACAGTGCATAAAGAGATAGATTCCTTTGAGCTGTTTAGTGAGATAGGATAGGACACTGAAAGGACAGATAAAAGCCTTCGTTGTATGGCTCTAGGTTAAATACTTTGGATACTAACTTTTGCTTTTGGGTATACTGTTCCTAAGAAATACTGTTAAAAAAGAGAAAGTTCAGAGAAGAGCCATGTAGTGACTAAAGGACTGGAAAGACAATTTATGAATAAGGCAAAAAAAACTAAATATACAGATTTCTACTCAATTTAATTTTCCTTGACTTTCTGAAATGTTTAAACATAGAAATAAGCTGCCTAAGGAAAAATAAATTACAAAAAATATAAATCAATAAGCATGTAAACTAGGAGTTATTGAAGGGAAACACATGCTACATATCAAGGGAAAACATCTTGCCATCAAAATCTGTTAGCCTGTGAGATTATCCTACAAGAAATGGTGAATCCTTATCACTTGGGATACTCTTGATTAGAAAGTACAATGTGATACTAGGAAAACTCTCTTCTAACTTACAAGCCTCTTCTCCTTCTATAAATTGTAAATGTAATGAGTTACCTTGAACAAGGTAATCAGTAGCTTCACTCTCCACCTCATGACTGAGTTGTTTGGTTTTCTGCAGATATTTCAGGACAAAAACATTAGGAGCAAAATGGATCATGTTCTGCTCCCCACATCCAAATGGTAATCGCAAAAGATTGTCCAAGTTGTTCAATGTAGGACCCATCACATCTCCTGTTTGAAAAAGAGGCAATATGTTCAGTATCAAGGAATTACGCTTTACTTCCTTTTGATGTCCTATGATTAAAACCCACCTGACTACACGAATTTCTACTAGCTACACATAGTGAGCTTAAATAAACTGTATAAGTTGCAAGTCCTTCAAATGTTAAGTCTTAGCCCTTCAAGCTCTTGCTGGAATAAAGAAATTTCACATTTCAGAGTTTGATTATCCATGACTTCCCAATTTAGACTAGTTTAGAACACAGCACAATTTGTGATTATGATGATTATGAAATGAATACTATGAATTCTGCAAAGCTCTCGGATGGTATCAGCTTTAAGTCACTGTCAACTCAAACAGGGTTCAAACAAGCGACAAAAAAGAAGTAATAATTATTCGTCCCAGAATTAAGCAGCATATACCTTAGTAACTGCCTATGACTATCTTATCTGGTCTGTATTACTCAAACACTGGTCAGAAGCAAGTAACAGCTGGAGTACCTCTTCATATTTGATAACTGGTACCTAGTGATACCTCTTCATAATTGATACCTATTATTGAAGCCGTAGCTCTTTCTGATCCTGGAATTATGTTGTGGGGAACTCCAAGAGTAAATGCTTCATTGTGATTTTCATCAGTCTCTTCTTTTCTCCAAATTTTAAACTCTCCCATTGACCCCCAGCCTGTGGAAAAGCCAATGTACTTCACCTCAAGCTGTCTGGGGACTGTCCACTCCACAATAATAGACTCATTTAGCACCCGAGTACCATGGCCAACCTGAAAGGAACAAAAAACCATGCAGTTCCAAGAACCCACACATATGAAGTCAGTCTGCCATGTGTCCTTGGACCCAGTAACTTATGTGTGCACCAGAGAACATCGTAGATGGACCAGTACCTTTCTCTCCCCCCAGCCCCAAACAATCCAAGGAAGTTTAATGAGAATTCCACAGGCTTGACCTCCAAGGCTTTCAGCACACTTAGTACTAAAAACATTGAAGACTGAGGTCCTGAGAACATAATGTAGCAAGCAGATACGTTCTGATTAAAACAGCCTGATCAAGACTTAATACAGAAAAAGCAACAGGAATGAAGCTTTCGCCTTCTACAACAAGCCTAATGAAAATCTGCCGTATGTGTGCTCAAACTCTATTTAAGAAAGCAAGAGACTTCCAGACCATTACATAGATAAATTCATTACCTGGATAATTCCATTTTTCCAGCTGATCCAGAAGCTGCGGAATTCATCCCAGGAGAGGATACCAGCTGTGTCCCTGCTGGCCACTGGCTCACCCATTTTGCTTATGGAAATCCATGTTTTAGTATTTTGATGTCCACCAATAACAATCTCAGTCATCTCTGCCATGTCATGTGGACCAGAGGACAAGGCCAGGTGAGCATCATTGTGTGCTTTCACAGCAATGTCAAAGTGTGTCATCCGGACAGGTTTCTGCATGTATTGGTACTCATATTTGTTAGGTGTAGAAATGTGTATTTTCTCTAGTCAGAAAAATAATGGAATGTTGTAAGAGTTAGAGCTTAGCTCACATACTTCAAAAATAACCCATAGCAAACTACTAAAATTTAAACAAACAGACCTTTCCTAAATACATGTTCTTTTTTCCAGCTTCTCTTAAACAAACTATGAAAGTATACGTGGATGTTTCTTCCCATCTTCTATTTACACCCCCTTGCAATATAGCAGATCCTTCAATTCAAACTGCTCAGCTGGATTTCTTATGAAGTCTGTAAGTGATTTTTCAGTTCTAATCTAGTGGTCAAAAGCATCTCTGTTTAGCTACTGGAGCCAACTTTGAGCTATCCAAATCTGAGGCAGAAAGAACATACTGATTCCAGAACTGAATTTTAAAACATCAGCTGAAAATATAGTACAGTCACAGTTACTGTCCACAGTGCTGAATACTTAAACTGTTTCATAAAGTAAAGGAATTTAATTGCCATTTCCAGAAATCACTTGGGCAGTTAGAGCAAATTCATAATTAGCCAGCCAGGTAAGAAAGACTCTTTATTCAAAAGTTCCTCCTACACACCATAACTCATCAATCACAGAGAAACAGAAACAAAGATTTTTTTAATTTTTTTTTTTTTCATGAGATGAAGCCACATGTTTCTATTTATAACTAAATCAAACAAACTTAATATCTCATTTGAATCATGAACTTACCATTTGGGCAGAAGAACACACTATAGGTGTATTCTCTGGACAGTCCCTCTGGCTATATAAAGACAGAAATCCATACATAAAAATACAGTGCTTGGATTAGCAGTAACAGCTATGCAGTTTACTTACATTTCTATTTATAACTAAATCAAACAAACTTAATATCTCATTTGAATCATGAACTTACCATTTGGGCAGAAGAACACACTATAGGTGTATTCTCTGGACAGTCCCTCTGGCTATATAAAGACAGAAATCCATACATAAAAATACAGTGCTTGGATTAGCAGTAACAACTATTCAGTTTTACTTACAAAATACAGAAATAATATTCTGCTGCTGTACAGTGTTTTATATCCTTTCTAGAAAAGTTATTACACTGTATTCTGTTAGCTAGAGATAGCTAACCACTACCAGAAAATCTCACATCACAGCATATTTCTTAGATTAACCGAGCAAGCTGATCTGATAAAGTTTCTCGTTTTTCTTCTGACCAGTATTGAAGATTGACCAGCAAGAACTCAGAATCAAATGGGCTCTTTCTGTACACGTACCACTAAAATTGATTATTTCCAATCATGTAAACGTACCATAAATCAACTTGAAGATTCTTATAAACCTATTCACATTTGATTATCTACCTAAACACTGTCATGATTTGCCCATTTATAATTTTTTTTTCTGAGTTATTACAAATTCGTATTTTCTTACCTCAATAATAACACTACTGCGAACATAATCCACTCCCACTGGGGTCCTTTTGTCCATATAATTGTCCTCTGAGTGCTTGCCATTCTTTAAGGTCTGCATCCCATCCTGACAGCAATTAGTTCCACCATAAGCAAAAGCTTTTGCTAAGAGTCAGAAGGGAAAAGAAGCAGAGATTTTGAGATAGGAAGATCTTCAGGAGTTCAAGTGAAGATCTAAACTAATTAGCTACAGTTGATTAACAATACATCGTGTTTTGTAATTACAGCTCTCTTATATTACCTTTATTCCATATTTGAACGGTCACATTTAAAACTGGACAAAATTTGGATGGTCACGGGGCAACAGAGAAACTCTTTCCTAGTTTGCAGTGTTGCACAATTTTTACTGTGATTATTTGCTTGAAAGATGTACAGAATTTGTTGTTATTCTCTTATTTAAAAATTTCCACTGATCTCTTCAGGGAGATGTAACAGCTCCAAAACTTACATGACCACATATCACACAACAGGAAAACTGATGACTAGGGAATCTCCTGAAGTTTGTTCATACAGACTCTCCAGTGCATTACAGCTGTAGAATCTGTTTCTAAGAAACAAATGAGGTTGAAAAGCTAAGTTGGCAGAAAGTGGAATGAATGATTCCACTTTGGGGTACTACGGAAATAAGAATTTTCTTCTGAAAGAGGAATAAAAAGAAACACTTGTAAAACTCCTTCAAGCAGCAAGCTGTTTTTATTTCTATACTACCAGTGATGTTGCTCAGTCCAAGCTCATTGAAGGACAAAACGATAGAGGTGGGTTTAGCTTCCCCAGGGGCAACGCACTTCTTTCTTGTCAGATGGTGTTTCCCAGGATGCCCAACAAACTTTATGCCTTTTGGAACAGAAATCTTCACGTGGACCTGTGAAAATTTTTGAATGCCATTTATTGCAAGTTTCAGCTGCAAAACCAACTGATATATATGAAAAATCTGAAACCCACAAAATGCTTAATAAAATCATAGCATGCACAGATTATTCATTCTTCAAACATTCTAGTAATACGTTTGACTGACAGCATTACCTTCAGCTCAGCAATTCTACAAGTAGTTCAGAATGATACTGCTGGAGCTAGACAGATAATGAGTTTGAGAAGAAAGCATCTAGGGAGACAGGATTTCTTGAAAAATAACATTCTGTCAAAATAAACTACTTTCAGCAGCTTTCTGATTATGAATGAAATTCTTCTCTGTGGTTCAGTATAAGCTTTCTAATTGTCTTCCCTACATTTTTCAGTGTTTGTATTTCTGAAGTGTTGCAAGACACTGCAGACTACTACAGTTGTTTCAAGCTAAAAGTAAATAAAGCAATGATATTTATTCATATTGAAAAACAATATTTTTATCTCATTCAAAGCATTTATGCTGAGCTTATCACTACGTTATCCCTATACCTTATCTACTGTAACTTGTAGGTCACTTAGGAAATTTTGATGATAAAGCATAATTTAGTGACTTAGCAACGGGAATAAAGAGGGACGTTACCTCTACACAGACAGCTAAGTAATTGTAGACAGTCAATGGGATTTTGGTCTGTTCTCCCCGGATGACATGGTATGGCAAGGTGAAATCAATGAAGAAAGGTTTAAATGTCTTCAGTTCTGTTTGACTGGCAATGCCCAACCCCTTCTCTTCAGAGAGACCCACAGCTTCAGTTATCCACGTAGTGATGGAGTCTGGCACTTCCACGTGCAGCTGTGCTTCTCCTGATATATTACTACCAAAGAGAACAGGGAATAACATGGGTTGGTCAGATTAATGAAATGCTTTTGAATGAAGCTAAAGCACACAGAGTCAAACATTTTGGGGAATTCCCTCCAGGTCCAAACTTACAACATAGCATCAGTGTCTGCTTTGAACAACAGCTTATAAAAGGCCCAATGTTTTCTATCAGGTTTTTTGAGACCTATGCACATTTATAAGGAGCGGAACAGCAAGTAGTTGCTTCTGCAAAACACAGTCTAACATACAAGTTCTTACTGGATTAAAAGCTTTACAGGCATTTGCGGCCTCATTATAGAGAGTCACTTTTCTTAGAGGCAAATGTCTGCACTAAGTCAAAAAAAAAAAAAAACCCAAACAAAAAACGAAAAGAAAAGAAAGAATCCTAGGATGAGGTCCTGGATAAAAACAGTTCAGCAATAATCTATTTAACAGCTAGTGAAATAAAAGTAATTTTTGTTGGAACCCGTTGTCCTTGTATACATTGCCACATTGCAGCCTCTGCTTGAACATAAGGGCAAATGAGAAATTTTCCAGACACCAAGTTCAACAGCTGCTTGTCCAGGGGAGCATATTTTGATTCAGAAACATTTTGGTTAGTTGTTTTTTGGAATGCCTGACTCAGAAAATTTCCAAAAACATCATTTTCTTCCAATGAGGATTGAAACTAATTATTAAACATCAAATTTCTACTCTGAGTATTTAGCTTTACTGTGCATACCACAACAGGATATCATAAACCCGGTATCCTCTTCCATGCTTTATAATAATAGAAATTCAATTTTGTTCTGCAGACTTTGCTATTTCCCTCCTGCAAAGAAGCTTTGGCCTTGCCTGGAACAGAAAACATTTCCTCTAAAGCAAGAACAAAAGCTATTTCATGGCTCAACTGGCAGGATGATTGGTGCAGTTATGAGTACACCCTAAGGTTGTTTTCTCTCAAGTTCTTATTTATTCCCCAGAGCTTGATACACATGCTGCTAGCTCTGTAATCTTTTGAGAGCAATGTGCATCTTAGTTGGCGTTGGAAAACAAGAAAGCAAGATCTTCAGAATAAGCTCTGGAAGTCTACAGCATAGCACGCTGTCTTTCAAGGCTGCAATACCTCCTGATTCATATCCAGGACAAACTGAAGAATTGTGCTTTCGCTGCTTTTCAACTGCAGGTTATTCATATTTTAGGCACCGAAGAAGTATCTTGATACTTTCAACGTCTAAATCAACTGTTTGTGATTTTCAATGAGCCTAAGCTACTGTAACTGTCATTAACTAGGCAGCATATCATGTATCAAGTACTGGTCTGTGTATTTATATTACAGTAGGAAAAGGATTAAAACAAGTAGTTTGATAAAAAACCTATTGATCACTATGTCTTTGAATAGGCATGTTCGGTTCGGTCAGTCTCTAGCACTCCGGCCAATGAATGTGGTTCCCAGCTCAAACTACAGAGTGGAGAGCCTGGGAAATGCCCTTGGCTTGACAGCACCATGTTATTTTAACTTCTTTTAAACACACTAGTTTCTTAATATTTAGGTCTTCATCCTAACTGGAGTTAGGTAGCTGGTACCTGCAATAAACTTCAGCCCTGACGAGTAAGCAGAAGGGTGTCCTAGCTCCAGAACGGGCAGTATTCCAGTCTGTTTAACCGGACAATTTGTTGCAGCTGATGTTCTTTCCACTGGGATTTCAGCCCATAACCAGCATTAACATTATTTTCACACATGAGGGCACTTACTCTTCTGGGCGGGGGGCCAAAATACACACACATTTCCAGCCATTAGACCCTCCAGCCAGGCTCTAGGAATTTTTAGAACTGGTTTGGGAAGTTGACATTAGGCTTTTGTTTCTTTTTTGAGGATTGTATATTATAATTATAAATGGTAGAAGAAAAAAAAATTCTTCCTGTTCAAGAGAGTGGAAATCAAGGAATGCTCAATTCAGTTGTTTCTAATGAAATGAAGTGGAGAAAATGCAATCTGCAACTTTTTATTCCATACTCTCCCACTTACAATTAACTGCCCCAGCTTGCTGAGGCCCAAACGGGCACTTCTGGAATTCTTTGTATATTTCTACAAAGCATATTTCATGCTCAATTGAACAGATTTGAATACAGTTGCTGCAAGTTCCTGTCAAATTTAATTTATAATCATTTATTGAGAATGAAGTTTACTTGCAAACCTGGAGAAGCCTTTTAATAATTGCTTCAAATTATGCTAGATGTGCTGTTTCTGGGAGAGATTAGTTATCTATTAATTTTTTCAGTTCCCATTGTACCAGGTGGAAACCATGAGTTGTTGGGCAGTAAATTAAGGTTTGGGGGAGATACTCGTGCATCAGATGAAAGAGAAAGAATGGCTCTGTGCAATTTAAAAAGTGATCAATATAGAATACTCACCGGTGCATGGTTAGGCTGTACCAGCATTTACAGAAGCAGCTATTCTGCCTCCATCTCCTCACACATATTAACCTTGGGATCATTTTCCCACTAAAGCATATGCAGCAATTGATGCTAGAATAGGGGTAGAAAGGAAGAAAAACACTAGCACTCGCTGAAGTTGACGTTTCTGGATTACCCTAAGATCCAAACACAAATCCAGACCCAACTCATCCCCCACTGTACAGGGGAACTGGCACTTCTGAGGGGCTGGGTCTTGCCTCTTGACTGTGAACTCTAGCGAGATTTCCCATTATCCTTTGCTCTCTTAAGTGGTACATAGAATTCTGGTTCATATGAAGATTTTAGCATAGACCGAGAAATGCGTCATCACTTTATATCTTACAGTCCCTTTTTATTGCAAGAGCAGTCTGACTTGCATTTATTGTGAGGCAAGCTATGCAACAGGTAGTTCCTCACAGTAGCTAATCACTTCAAACCTATATCCTCACTTGCTCTTCAATAACTTCTTGATACACCCTTTCTGTAAGCGAGTAAAACCTAGAAACTTGTTGAACCAAACCATTGCTCCTTTTCTTCCCTGAAGATACTCCTCTGCTTGTGACACCTTGGTGAATTGCACAGGGGTTGCAATGTAGCCACAACTGACAGGTTCAACTTGAAGTAAATACACTTGAAGACCAGATGAAATGTTACAGAGAAAGATTACTGATTAAAGCAGTAATGAAGAAAAGCAACAACAACAACAACAAAATATCAGAGAATGCCAGTGTAACTCCAGGAGGTTTTAAATAGCTTTGTTTTCTGCAGTTGAAGAGGATACAACCCTCTGGATATAATTAAGGGAATTCCCTGTCAATACCTGACGTTGAGGCAGTGCCAAATCCATGTTTCGGGAAAGAAGGTTCTTTTTCTCTTCTCTGCTCTGCTAGAACAAGAAATAAGTCCTTGGCAATGAATTCTTTTAATAAGACGGCTGTAATACTGATTTATCAGTTACTGTTATCGCCTGAATGCAGCTCACATGACCAACCAAAACTCTAGCTAGCACAGAATCAAAAAAGTGAATGGGTGTATCATTCAGAACACAAATTACAGTCTTTCCAAATGATCCCATTGTGCACACACACAAACAGTCTGGAGACATAAATAAGAATCTAAAAGAGATAGTATAAATAATCTTAAACTAGCATAAAGAAATAAGTCCTTGGCAATGAATTCTTTTAATAAGACGGCTGTAATACTGATTTATCAGTTACTGTTATCGCCTGAATGCAGCTCACATGACCAACCAAAACTCTAGCTAGCACAGAATCAAAAAAGTGAATGGGTGTATCATTCAGAACACAAATTACAGTCTTTCCAAATGATCCCATTGTGCACACACACAAACAGTCTGGAGACATAAATAAGAATCTAAAAGAGATAGTATAAATAAGATAATCTTAAAAACTAGCATAAATAATATAATCTTAAAAAAAAAAAGGTTTTATGATCCAAATTCTTTCACCAAACGAAATCAAAGGGAGCATACAGAGCATGTGACTTCCCATGATATCATGATATGGCCTTACTAATAGCAGTTTCTACAATCACTACTTTATATTCCCCTCTGTTTCTTCTTTTGAAATTGTCTTGATCTCTAATATTTTCATAATTTGTCCCATTTTTCTACACCTGTGATGCTTCATTATCTTTTTCTTAACTAACCTCTGAAACTTACTCTGCTAAGAGAGGCCACCAGGTGGTTCAGAATACAAAGGGAAGGCACATCCTCAGTTTGCAGCATTAGTCATAGTACATCACGACTTTTTCTTCCTGCAGTCCCTCATTTTATTTATTTTGACCACCAGCTGAATGGTCAAAATAACGAGCAATGAGCAACTCTGCAAAACAAGGGCTAGCTTGCAAATACTGAGAAGCAGCAACTAATTCACAGAAAACTGAGATATGCAAAGAGTTTCAAATGATCCTTTTGAAGAATATTACTTTGCATTTTTCCAGAGTTAATTTAAATTTAACAAAGTAGTGTCAGCTGTAATTTTTGTTAGGTCTATCAAGACAAAGGAAGAGTTTCCCCACCACCACCTTGTCTAAACCAAGCAATTTCCTGGGGGCAAGGAGGTGGGAAACAGCTGAGAATATAGAAAAAAAAAAAATAGCTAAGAGTATCATAGACAATACGCATTACAATAAAAACGTTACCTTGGTGCTATTTTAGAATGCATTGTAGCCACCAACGTCCCAGTATGTGGCTGAAAAGCTGGGACAGCCTCATCCGTGTACATACCTCCGTTCTGTCTGTGGTTTAAGCTGACTATATCAGTCATTACAACCAAACCAGTTTCCTAGACAATAAAAATGAAGACCACAAAACAAAAACCAGCAAGAAAAAAAAGAAGAAGAATTAAAAATGTACCAGTAAAAACTTTTCTGAATAGAATCCCCCAACCCTATTCCAACATTTATGGGGTAAATTTCAATTGAAACTTGAGGATTTTTTTAAAACTTTATATAAAAATGACTTAATGTGAAAATATGTAGGCACTTTACAGGCAGAAGTTTTACGAGAAAGCTCTTGTTTGCTTGGAAAATGCATTTAAACCAATATCTAACATTACTGGGCATGTGTAACTGTCAGGCAGCTACAGGTGAAAAATTATTACACATACTTTTCCCCTAGAATATTACATTACAGCTTTTTACCCTTCCTAAAAGTTTCCAGTGTGTTCTGCTGCAGTTAGCAGGCAGCTCTCACATCAGACATCACCAATTCTGCACTACCAGGAATGCCAAGCAAAATGGAAACTGTCCACACAGCTTCACAGTAAAAATACAGAATTCATAAGAAAGCTGTCTGCCAGCTCTGTCCCCTAAATGCACTTATTCATAAGAGACAGCAGTTCCCAGACACCAAAGGGAGTATGAGCTTTGTTCTCTTTATGTACACATCTAATTATTACAAATCAGGTCTACAGCAGTGCATACATACCAGCTATTAACATATGTATCTTTTCCCTGAGAGTTTACGTCTCTCAGTAAGAAAAAAAAGCATCAGAACAAAAACCCCAACAGATCACAGGGAGAGAAGCAGCAGTGACTCCTGCAGCAGTGGATAGTAATGAGGATTTAGAGTTTATGATTAAGAAATTGAGGCATTGGGGGAATATGTGGAAGCCTACGGGGTTTAAGACAACACAACAGAACAATCTAGCTAAAATTGCAGAAAGGACAAAAAATGAAGAGAGAGGATCAGGGTAACCTGATCAAGGATACAAAGAAAACATTACTGGTCCTTCACACAGATGGCCACAGAAGCTGGCAGAACTGGCGTAGGAAAGAAGGATTTCCAAAAGATAGCCTAAAAGGGAAAAGGCTATAAGGAAAGACTCATGTTCCACCTTCCTTCCCTGTCAAAGTAACTGCAGAAGAGATCTGCACACTCACCCAGCCCTGGAGGAACCTTCTGGTCCCCTGTCTGATTCTCCAGAGCATCAGCATGAATTCCTTCACCCAACAGGATATCTGGCCCTCTTATCAAGATTGGCCAAAATCAAAGCACATTTCTCCAATATCTTTGCTGGAACAGTATACTTACTCTCTGTTCTCAGAAATTACTTTTCAGCCCACCCCCTGGAGAAACAGCTCTGATGTGAAGAAAATAATGGCCTATGGAGCTGAAAATTATCCTGCAAACATGAAAGTAAAAGAGACACTCCATAGAGAAGTGAGGCTGATTCTTCCTACTGTAAACGCGAAGCGAGCATCCTTGGTGATGTCCCAGTGCCAGGGAAAGACAGAAGATCTACGGCGTCTACGTGAGGACATGCCTGGCCACCAGAAGTGCCCTTCTTCCTTCGGAGCTCCAAAAGCATCAGATACATCATATTCTGCAAGCTCTTGAAAAACCTGCAGGGAAAGGGAACAGACTGCTGTCCTTAGGTATAAAGGCTACTTACTAAAGGTAAAGTGCATAGCAGTATTAAGAAAAAGACATCAGTGCCTTAAGCTTCCTTCTACCTGACTGGCTGTCAGCTGAAAACCTGTCTTCAGCAAGTAGACACTCTTATCCACAGTGGCAATGCAGACGCAGCTTGATTTTGCAGCTCTGACCTTGATGTTCACAACATCACCAGGTCTGGTCTCATTTGCCGAGAGAGCCACTGCAACCTAGGAATTTAACATTAAATCCCATTACCTCAACTCATAATCAGCAGACAAAGCTACAAAGAGTAACGAGACACCACCCCCTCCTCTCCACTAGCTACACTGCCAATACCTGATTTTCAAAGGAGGACTTCACAGTGAACTGCAGGCTGTCTGTAACCCCTTCTCCATTCTCCCTGACATAATACACCAGAAGACGGCCCAAGGGAGCCATGTTGTGAACTACTGAGAACCGGAGGAATGTCATGCAGACTTCAACCTCTGCTGCAGGGATACTGGTAGGTGCTAAAAAATAAATTGTAAAAAGGACAGCGTTATTTATCAAAATCACTCTCTTCCAAATGCCCCATCCAAATGCTGCAAGGCACAGAACTCTCCACCCAGGACTTGCATCCTTCCCTTGTTCCTGTTGCACACATTCTTCTTGAACTCAGAATCTTTTCCCTTCTTTTTTCTTTTCCTTGATAGGCAATTAGCACCCATAACATAGTGAGCAGTATGGAGAAGGTGGATAGAGAATGACTACCCAGTGTTTTTCCTAACATAAAATCAAGGAAATATACAATTAAGTTATCAAGCCATTTAAAATAAACAAAAGAGGGTATCTATTGCTGCAGAACGCTGCTGAGAGAGAAACTATAAATGGGTTTGAAAAAGGATTATGCAGTTTATAGAGCATCGTTTCACTAGCAGCAGTTAAATAGAATCATAGAATGGTTTGGGTTGGAAGGGACCTTTAATGATCATCTAGTTCCAACTCCCCCTGCTGTGGGCAGGGACATCTTTCACTAGATCGGGTTGCTCAAAGCCCCATCCAACCTGACCTTGAACACTTCCAGTGACGGAGCAACCACAATGTCTCTGGGCAACCTGTAAATACAACAGCTCAGAACCAACCGTCAGTGCAGAAAGTTATTAAAAATTCTTAAACCACTGATTACCAGAAGCCGGGTGGGTACATCTAGGGAAATTTCTTTTCCCCAACTATCTGAAAGTGGCTGCTATTGCAGACATGTTACTAGTATAGACAGACTTTTCCTTTGGCAGCTGTTGTATGCATCTTCCCAAGCACATCATTCTTTACCCCCCCGTTCCCTGAATTCACCAGATTTGTATCTTTCTGTTATTGCTTGTACAAACTAGGAGTCCCTACTCCCATTTCCCTTCCCCATGCTAACTGCACGATCTTCTCCTTTAGCCTGATCCATGCTATCAGTCCATCTAATGTCCTCTTCCTAGTTTAAGCTCAACCAGCTTAGTAAATTGCCCCAGCCCCATCATACACTTTCCTACCACTCAGCTGATCCCAAGCCAAGCATATTACAAAAGACTAGAGTTTTCTTAACACAGAAAGACTACAGAAAGACCAGAGAAAACTCTCCAAGAGTTATTGCTCTTGGAGAAATTTATCTTTTTCTATATGACTGTGTCTGCAATGGATATCACTATTTTTCTTGCACAAAATTATTCTGTGCCCTTTAAGGAGCATCAAATTCAAAAAAGAGGATACTTAGGTTTGCAGAAAGGTTGTTTTTCCCTGAAAACAGGGGCGAGTTTGCATTTCTGATGCTAGCTACCTGTTCCTGGGAAGCGTGTGATATCAATGTTCTTCTCAAAGGGAAAGGTGGCTCTTTTGCTCCTCTGCTGGGTGATGTTACTGGGCTGCAGTCCTGAAAGGACAATGTTGCCTCGCGATGCCACTTCATAATGTAGAGTGAAGTTGCAAGGACATGTGGACTTCACCGCAATCCAAGCCTCCTCTCCTACCTGCACCCAGAGACAGAAAAGCAAAAGATCTGGTCTGTTACAATGCACGCTTTTTATTTATAAAGCACAGAAATCTATTTGGGTTTCAGTCCACAAGAGACATGATCCCTCTCCAAAGAAATGTATGCATTGAAAAGTGTATTACATTAGCACTGTTTTCATGGACTTTCTTCCCAATAAAAAGGGGCCTGTGTTCAGCGCTTTACTCCCTGCAAACCTAACAGGAGAATGGGCTGGGGGGTTGTATGCATTAATGAAAACAATAAAGGAATCTCTGGAATCCTGAAAGTTAAGCCTTTTGGCACAGAGCAGCTGTCAGAATTGGTTGAATTTTAGATACCCGTTCAGTAGTCCAGCCCAAAAAAGAAAGAGATGGGTTGGGGGTGGGAAGAGATGTGCGTTTGATAGTCTTTGCAGTTTAATTGAGATTATACATGGTGATTACTTTCATATGGCAAATATAATTCAAACATAACCAATGTGGCATGAAATTACTGGGAATAGATCTGAGGGGAAATGCTGTCAAACTACACAAGTCTTGATATTAATTTGCAAGTCCGGCACTCAAGGAGCTGTCAAACACACAATTAAATGAGAAGAGAGCTTCTTTTTTCTGGGTAAACTCATCTGACGCCTGCAAGAGGCTTCAGAGCAGCACACTGACTTCCTGCACTTTTTGTGCACTGAAGTCCTATACCCAGAGGTACTCATGAAGTACTGAATCCTCTGGACACAAAATCCCCCAAATACCGCCAATCCCAACAGAATAGACATCGGTGCTCAGTCATGGGATTAGGTCTGGGTCATGTCTGGCTGAGTACTAAGCCTTCTGTGGAGCAGCTGACTTTCCTAGGAACACAAATTTCTTGCTCCTGGGATATGAGGAACAGCTAACACTTGTACTAAGTAGAATTTCTTCAGCAACTTCCACTCCTGAACCTCCTGCCATTTAAAGCATAGCAATGCCCAACTAAGACTGTTAAGGCTGAATAGCAGTGTTAAATCCCAATGAAATCTTTTGAAAAACCTCTTTCTTCAGCACTAACAATGTTACCTTCCCAGAATGTACATATGGTACAAACCAAAATGGCAAGGACTTGAATACAAGGAGCTGCTAATGGTTAAATACAGTGAGAATGCCACAGAGTCCAAGAAGTGCCTCGTGACATTAAATATTTGAAGTATTAAGAATTCCCCAGTGCAAATGATGAAACAATTCATTAAAAAATGAATGTAGCTAATTGGAACACCCAGTAAGAGCTGGCAAAGCAGGGAAACAGTTCCCACATCAGCTGGTCATCCAACTCCTAGCTTTCCCACAGAAGAATTAGTTCTAATCAGGTTATAATAAGAACAATGTGTTCAGATTAGCAGTGTATAATCCCCTTTCCATACCTCAGGAAACTTGTAAAAGATTAATTAGCCATTAAACTACCATGAAATGCAATGATAAAAAAAATGCTCTTATTTGGATACAAAGAGTCTGAAACCAACCTGACGGATCTGATGATAATAGAAGTCTAAGTGTGTGTATTGCCAAAACCCACTTCCCCCCCCCCCCCCCCAAAAAAAACAACAA